CCAAAGAAGAGTTGATGCTTTTGAATTTTAGTGTTATTGAAGTATATTGAAAATACCATGGACTGCCAGAAGAATGAACAAATCTGTCTTGGAGGAAGTGCAGTTGGGATGCTCCTTAGACGATAGAATGGCCAGACTTCTTCTCATATACTTTGGTCATATTGTCAAAAGGGACCATTGTCTGGAATGCTTGGTAAAGTAGAAGGTCAGCGAAAAAGAGGAAGACCCTCAACAAGATGGATTGACAGTGGGCTCAAGCACAGCAAATACCGTGCGGGTAGTGCAGGACCAGGTGGTGTTTCGCTCTGTTGTTCATAGGGTCACTAGGAGTTGGAGCTGACTTGACAACCCCTAACCACAACAGACCACATCTAGAGTAGACACAACACTCTACACGCATTTTTGATAAAATTGCCTGTAGAAGAGGGGACTATCGGTGAATGACAGGGAAACAAGGCTGTGGAGAATACTGAGTGAGCACAGGATGTTTAGTCTAGAGAAGAAAAGATTACGGGACTTTGATGGTTGTTTTCCAGCATTTAGAGAGCTATTATGTGACTGTGAGAGAAGCTGTAAGACTTTTTTGGGTTATTTCAGTTGGGCCATCAGAGTGAAAGTTAGAAATAGGCAGATTCATTTTGATATATTTGAAAGTTTTCTGCCAGCCTCGGGAAAGGCTGCCTCTAAAGTACTTTGCCCACATGACTGTTCAAGCAGAAATTAGCTGCATGTAGATTGCTTCCTTCTCAAAAGGCTTCATCTTGTTGGAATTTGGGATGAACGGTCTCTGAAGGTCCCTCTAAGGCCAATTCTTTAATTTTTATTTTCCAAATTAAATGGGAAGTAACATAATTTTTCACATATTTCCTTAAGCCTCAGACCCACAAGAATTTTGCTAGCCCACAACTAATGAGTTCCTTTCCCCATCCTCCCCACCTTCATTGGGTAAAACAGTCTTGGCTTAGTTAACAGAATGTCATAGTAAATATACTCCAAACGTTAAAATCCACAGCTTACCCACTTGGGGTAAAATGATTATTAAAACCTAGACAATGTCTCAACTCACCAGTTTGACACGTAAATACCAGTGCTGACCAGAACATACACAGGAAGGGGAAAGTCTTGCCCCAAAGTAAGGTAAGTAGAAAAAGGAGGTTTACAGATAGAACCCAAGAGATGAGATGCATAGATGGTTCTACATGCCGCTTGCAGCTCAAGCAGGGGACGTAATGGTTCCTGAGCTGTCAAATGTCACAGGAAGGGAGGCACCACTCAACTCCCTTGGAGCTGCCCTAATATTTACTGTGGCGGTGTCTCCCAAGCTTCATGGTCAAGGTCAGCATCTTCCGGACACCTGCTATGTTTGTAGGTGTGCCCACATGTCATCATCCAGCTAAGAGGAAGGTTACCACATCCCCAGCTGGCCCTATCTGCTGTCAACTTATGAACAAGGAACACTGGCTAAAAAGTTGCCTTTACTACAACACAGGTAATTTTAGGGAAACAAACTGATGAACTATTTCTGTCAGTAAGTTACCATCACTGAAAATTATATTTACCTCTTTATTTCTTGCCAAATACATCATTTTGGCATCATTTCCACCTGTTTGAAAAATGACAGTTTCATTTTTGAGGGGTGAAGCCTTGCTTTAATATCTTGTAAGTTCATGTTTATAGAGGTTGACCAGTAAACACAGATATAAGCCCAGCCTTAGCTATTACCATTAACTAGAAATCATGTCACAGTAAGGCAGTACTTTTAAAGTTCAAGTGCTTAAATGGTCTGAAAATAATTATTTTGAATGATACTAACAGCCACTAGGAAGAAGTGACTAAAACACAGTTTCAAAATTAGCTTTATGATTGCAGAGCTATGGAGATTATACAGTACTTCAAGTAGTTACTAGCAGTGGCATTGTTAATCATTGGGCAGGAAAAATAAATAAAATCTCTACTATGGTTTGGTAGCTTTGCTAAGCCCCCAAAAATATAATTATAAAGGAGAAAAATGTGACATAGCTATTTTTATATATATATATATATAAAATTTTAAGGAGAAGCATCATTATTTCTCAGGAAGGTACCTTGTCTTCTACTTATCCAATGGCAAAGGGGATGCTGAGTAACTAGGGATGGTAATGGTGATAGCAAAGGGAAAAAAACAAGAGCCAATTCCCTTTTCCCAACTCATTAAAGGGCCCACCCACTATTCTGTTAAGATACCCAGCACACCACACCCAAGGCTAAAGTTGTTTCCATATGTTGTTGTTGTTGTTGTTTGCCGTCGAGTTGGCCCTGACTCATAGCGACCCCTCCTTGGGTTTCCGAGGCAGTATCACTACGGAAGTAGATTGCCCCATATATTCAAATGAACTGTTCCAGGGTAGACTTTCTTTTTACTTGTAGAAAGAGCAACATTTCATAGTTGACTTTTCTTTAATTCACCTGCTTCAATTAATTTTAATCAAAATACATAAACCATTTTAATATAAGCTGAATGACAAGGCAGTTGAGAAGTAATACAAACACTCTCGTTACATAGAATTCATTTAACACTCACAACAAACAACCCTATAAAGTAGTTCCTGTCATTATTCCACTGTCACAGAGGAGGCAACTGAGGAGAACAGGATTATAAGGAAGGCACTTGACTGCTAACCAGAAGGCTGGCGGTTCAAACCCACCAGCCACTCCTCGGAAGGAAGATGGGGCAATCTACTTCCATAGTGATATGACCTGGGAAACCCAAGGAGGGGTCATTATGAGTTGGGTCCAACTCAATGGCACATAACAACAACAGCCCAAGGCTACACAGCTAAGAACTGGCAGAGGAAGGATTCGAAAGCAGATAGCCTGGCTGCAAAGTCTAAGCACTTAACCGTTCGACTATACTGCCTTTCCAGTAATAGTTGGTATGTAGGTAAAACTAAACAAGTGTCTAGTATGTACCTGGCACTGTGTTAAGCCCTGTATACACATTAATATGTTAATGTTTCCAGTTGGGTCATTTGGGCACAAATAAGAGGGATAACAAAAGAGCCAATAGGTCAACCATTCTGTGTGTCTTTGGTAAACTCTCTAACTTGGAGGTGGTCTTTGTGTCACTTGAGATCACAGAATTTTAGCAAAAAGAAGTTACTTTTTCTCTCTTGCTTGCAGAGGTGGAATGGTCCAAACCAGTGAGCAGTATGAATTTGTGCATCATGCTCTGTGCCTGTATGAGAGCAGACTTTCAGCAGAAACTGTCCAGTGATACACTGAAGATTTACGTGACCATCAATCTCTTAGGGTGATTAATCAAATTACCCACCTGTGGCTTCTCAAAGGAGTTTTCTGCAATGTAAGGAAAGGGAAGCACCGGAGCCAACCTGTGGCATGGATTGTGGAAGACTTGGCAACATAGTAAGAATTGCCAACACCTTGTGTATATGAATGCATTTGTAAGCATCCCCCAAATTTCTTTGAAGGTCCTGTACTGACGGAGGTATGATAAATTTCTCACACATCCTAAGGTGGAGTTTGTTTTGTCTATATTGACTATCTGCCACACAGAATGTATGTATGTAACACTCAGTGCTACATGTCGTCCGATGACGACTTAAGAGCTGCTGAAGAAATTATTATTGTGTTCAGATGCTTTGTTTGTAAAATCTGTCTTGTGACTGGACTGTCAGCTGTTAAACTTCCTGTTTTAAGTGCTATTACCTTTCTCAGTTACCAGAATCTTGCTGCTAAAGTTGCAAGTGATTGATAATGGATTTTTAACAAATAAGTCCTTGTTTTTGAAAAAACAAAAGCAGTAACTATTTTATATGGAAATGTGTCTTGATGATATTACTTAGTACATGTGTATTTATAGTACTTCCTATTGATCAATTACAGAGCACAATGATTGTCATTAGGTATGTATGTATTTACTCTCTATTTATTATTGGGCGTAGGGGTGGCTTCCGCTCCAGAGCTCTATCCAGTGTATTTCTACATCGGGAATTGTTTAACTTTAAAAGCGAAAAACAAATTTGTAGCAACTATGAACTATCAAGAATTTTAAACATGTGTCCATCTTTTGCTAAGAGGGAAATTTTGAACATACTGTCTGCCTGGAATCTCTCTTCCAATGAAAGGCAGATGCCTTTGGGGATGATACATCCTGCGCCATTTCCAGGGATTCTCAAAAGGACACTGCCAGGTATACCCTTAAATTTCTGAAAGGTTTTAATCCTCAAGAGGCAAATGAAGTTAAAATAACTACACCCAGCAAGCACTAGGTATTGGACTCTCGTATCAATTTTTAATGCAGCAATGTTGACTTTGTTTCATACTGCCAATAAACTACTCTTAATATGAAATATTGAGTCAAGTATATACTTTTTCCCCCTCCTGTTTAAAGAACAACAGTTATCTTTTGAGGAAGCCTGGAGTAGATAATGTGATGGGTTTAATTTCAGTCTTTACATCTCCCCAGTGGAGATGACTATCTCAAAATGTAATATTGTCATCACTCAGGAGATAATGAGCTAGAAGTACCATCATTATGTGGTTTGCCTCGATAGGCACCCAGCGTATCATTATACAAACAGTACATGTTTACAGCTTTATATCACTTGTTATAGACCTTCATAAATTACACGGCTTATGTTTATTCAGCAGAATCACATCACCTGAAGAGATGTAATGTTGCAGGAACATTCAATTATCTAAGATTATAATTCCCTTTTTCCCTCTTGAGGTTAAAAGTAGTCATATGCCAAAGGGGATGGTGGATGAAGACTTAAAAGTTTTATTCTGCTTCTGGAGACTGGAAATTTTTCTAAATTGAAAAAAAGAGAGAGAGAGAGAGAGGTAATCATAATCCCTTCTTTCTAAGGAAATAGACAAAAGGACATTGGTGTAAAACTCCCCCAAACAATTCAATAGGAGGAAGTGCTCGTCACTGACTTTTCCCCCCCACCATGAAGGCACGTTTCCTTCCTAGTCTCTGCTTCTCTTATCTGGGAGAATTTTTTTTTTCCCCCAAGCGAAGCATGAACAGTTGTTAAGTGGAAAATGGAGGCTGAATTTTACATGGCGGTTCTTACCTGCTTGCTCCTCGGGAACTCAGGTGAGTGTGCCTGCCTCATTTTCCTGAGGGATTTCTCCCCCATCCAGCCCAGGAGTCTCTGCCCTTTGGAAAGTGTCTGGAATGAGGTGGAAATGGATCCAGGTCTCCATGGCAGTTTAGCTAACTACGATGAGGAAGGGGACTGTGAAGAGCCAGCTGTGCCCACAATGTTGAGATTTCTCTCCAAAATGATAATAATAAATGGCCTCTTCATATCTTCTAAACACCTGGGGCAGCTCCTGAAATGGCATTTTTACAGCAAAGAGTAAAGCACTCTGAGGAGACATTTTTATTATTATATAATAGTCTGTGCCATTCTCCATGCTGAAGAGTATTTTTTTTCCAGTCAGGTTATTTGTTTTGTTTTGTTTTGTCATGAAGAAAATACAAGAAATGTGATTGAAGTTGATGAGGGAACATGGTGTGTTTTATTTGGAATTTGTGATTTGGAAGGGCTGAATATTTTCATGGAAGATCTGGATAATTTAACTAAAAAAGCACATTGAAAATGGTTGCTCAGCCTGAGTATCTCACTTTTTAATACTGATGTTTAGCAATTAGGTGTTTAATTCCTTCCATGGAGAAATGCTGATTTTCAAAATATATTTGAATGTGTACTTGCGGGAAAAAACCATAAAGACATTATCACAAAATAGAGGAATGCTTCTCTCAAGGACTGTAAGAAATTTAGTTTGTGATAATCAATATTTCATTGGTTTCTATGAGCTAAGAGAATGCATTTGGAAGGGGTGGAGAAAGAAAATCTCTTGGTTTTGTTTTAGTTGTATTCAAACTACCCAATTGTATACAATTACTGTAATTGGCACCTGAAGATTCAAAGTGGGGTGTTTTGGGGGAAGGAAGTGAGATTGAAAGAGTGAAATGGTTAAAAAGGGAACTAGGTTTTTCAGGACTTCAAGATATTTAATTAACTGAGCTAAAATGTCACACCATATTCTTTGGACAGTTTTGTTTTGTTCCCGAGCTTCCTTTCATTATTTCAATGGGGGTGTGGTTTCTTCTCAAATCATGTGAAAGTAAAAGAAAGGGAGCTATGTGTGACAGTTTGACATTTTATATTGTCAGCCTTGGGGTTTTAAATCATATGTGATGAGTCTGGGAGTATACAATGATAGCAAAGGCTAAGTGAATCTGGTATTTTCACTTAGACAATTTGTGGGTGGGTTTTTGTTTTCTAATGAGCCTTATAATTTCCTATGCAGTACTTTATGAGCTTTTCATCTTCCAGAAGGGTTTCAGATTGTCCATGTCCAGAAACAACAGTGCCTTTTCAAAAATAAGATAGTGGTCATGGGCTTGTGCAATGGGACCAGCCAAAACCAGCAGTGGATGTGGACCGAGAATGAAAAGCTCCTGCACGTTAAATCCACCCTGTGCCTGGGCATCTCCAATTCCTCTCGTGGCCCTTCCCGTGCAGCCATCTTCACCCCTTGCTCCCAGGCAACCCGATGGACCTGTTATGAAAAGGGAGGGTTCCTTGAGGTGGAGAATGCTTCTCTCTTTCTCAAGAAACAAGGCTTCAGGGTAATGGTCAAGAAGGGCAGGAAATACCTCCATAGCTGGATGAAAATAGATGTCAACGAGGAGGGAAAGTTGGTCAATGAAAGCCTCTGCTTGAAAAAAGGTGAGCTATTCCTTCCAGGATCAATTTTGAATGCCTTTCTTTGTCTTTTTTTTTTTTTTTTTTCCACATTCAAGGGAATTCTACATGCCCCAAAACATTTCCTATAGAAGATTCATAACCTAAAGGGAATAGATGTTATGGTGCCCAACGACTTAGAAAACTTCATTACCCACATTAAAATAAGCCCAAATTTTCTCTGTTTTTCTCTTTATATTCTATCACTTCATTTCTTGTTCCTTTTATTAATTCAACAAATGTTTACTGAGCTTCTACTTTGTGCCAGACACTATGGTAGCCACCTTGGGTTACATGCTATTAGATAAAGGAATACAAATCTAGGTATATACATAGCATACATGTATAATGACTGAAGTCCATCAGCTGGCTCATGTATGTCAGTGATCAGGAAATTATTAGATTTAGCTGACATGGACACTGCTAGTTGAGATCTGATTATGACCCAGTCTTCCTTCCAAGGAGTGGCTGGTGGGTTTGAACCGCTAGCCTTCTGGTTAGCAGTCAAATGCCTTAGGCAGTATGCCAACAGAGCTCCCAAAGAATTATTAGAGCACCAAAATGGCATTTAATAAGATTGGGTAGATATATTAGGCTTTTGAAAATCTCTTGTTCTCATATTTAGGAATAGATACCTTTTGGTGGTAACATATTTTTGAAATGAAAAGAACCAACATGAAAAGTGTTTTAGTTTGTTGTCCATTGATGAATGTAGCCTAGATGCTGGACAAGTGTAAAAACTTGTGTCCATGTACACACATTCCTGGTGCAGCAATTCCTGAGCCAGGAATTTTTGTTTGTAGAATACGTATGAAGCTGACTCTTCTCTTTCACTTAATCATATTATTGCTCACTTATTTCTCTGAGGTTTGCTTTGGGAAATCACGAAAGATAAAACTTACATAATCACAATATATGAGGATCAAATAGACCTTACAAATTATTGGAGAAATTATCTGGATATGAAGACTCTGATTATGATTGAAGTTTATCAAAGTTAAGTGTTTTGTCCCAGGGAATTTAATGGTAGAGGCATGATTAGAACTCAAGTTTCTTGACTCCCTGTCAAGTGCATCTTCCATTACAAATCCTGGATCACTTACCTTTACCTGACTGGCTGCATAAGAGTCACCTGGGTAGATGGAAGGAGGGTTTATTAAAAACACAAATTTCTTGGATTGTATCACACTCCTTCCTCTTCTACTACCATCTCCAAGAGGTTTAGGAAATCTGGACTGGACATAATAATGTTTTTTTTAAAAAAAAAAAAGCTCCCCAGATAATTATGATCCATAACTCCATTTGGGATCAGCATCCAATATACCGCTATATTAAATTTTTTTCTCAAGGCTTTTTTTTTCTTTTTTCTTTTTGGAAGCTTGTATGAGTCTTCCCACCATGCTGATCTTTGGACAATTTTCTCTCACTCATTCATTTCATAAATTATACAAGTATTTAATTAGATGTCACTTGAATGCAGTAGCTTCTTCTACAATAGAATTTGAGAGTTATAGTCTCATATCACTTCTGACTATGATAATAAGATAAAAATATTAAATCAATCAGAACATTCAAATTTATTAGTGAGCAAACACATACAGCATCAATTTGACAATTCCTTTCCTGTGGTTCAACTAGACCCATCCAAAACAACATAGAAACATTGTAAATATTCCAGTTGTAGGTTTATTAAGAAATGAAATCCCCTGTCAACTCGGGACCATAATCTCAGGGAACACCAAGCTCAATTGGCACAACATAGTACATAAAAATCTTGTTCCACAACCTGCTTTGGTGAGTGGAGACTGCGGTCTTAAAAGCTTTCGAGTGGACATCTATGATGCAGCTATTGGTCTCTTCTGGTCTGCAGCAAAGAAGAGTGAAGAAAATCAAAGGCATCTGGAAACAATTAGTCTGAGGATATGATGGACCCCGAGACCAGAACTAGATGGTGCCTGGCTACCAATGCCAACCACTCAGAAAGGGATAAATACTGGAAATCCTAGATAGAGGGGGAGGAAAAATGTGGAAAAAAATTCAAAAACACAAAAATGACCAGAATTACTGGTTGGATAGAGTCTAGTGGAACCCCCAAAACTATGGCCCCAGGTTACCCTTCGGGCCTAGAATTAGACTCACTCCCATGGACTGGCTCTCAGCCTAACAGTAGAAAGACCTACATGTAGAACACCTACCCCAGGGTGATGCACCCACCTACTCTAGGGAGATGCACCCCTTAGATCAGTCAACCATGAGACACCAGAGGGGCAGCATTCACATAGAGGGAAAGCTGGACAGACAAAAGTGCATAGTTAAGTTGGGCGCAGGGAGGGGCTGGGTAGTCACAGGGACAGGACAGGAGGAGAGTTTTTATGGTTGGGGATGGTAATCAGGGCATAAAATCAAATGTACATGAACTATTGAATGTAAAACAAATTTTGCTCTGTAAATTTGCATCCAAAGCACAATAAAATTTAAAAAGAAAGAAAGAAATGAGATCCCCCACAAATTTCAATCAACCTTTATTTAGGATAAGAATCTTTAATTGGACTGTGAAAAAGTAGAAATGGGTTTAGTGGAGAGTTACTCAAGCAGAAGTTTATTCATGGAGAAGCTTTCCCCTTTATACTCATGTAAACCTATCCTATGAGGGCCCAGGTTTTCAAAGAAAGATCATACTATTGATCTTTTGCACTTAACCACTGACCAAGCCATATCCAAAGCATCCCAATAATCTGTGTTGAGAAAAATGGACTTCGAAAAAAGGCAAAAAGTTAAAATGTGGTCAATTATGGTACAAATAATCTTATATTTGAATGAATAGGCAAAACACATACTTTCACTTTAACGTAATTATAACCTAACAAACAAATCTTTTCTGTTCCATTTTAAACTTAAGAAGACAGTTGGCTTTAAGTCGACTCTGACGCACAGTGACCCCATCTGTGTCAAAGTAGAACTTTGCTCCACAGTGTTTTCCATGGATGACTCGTCAGAAGTAGATTGCCAGGCCTTTCTTCTGAGGTGATTCTGGATGGACTTGTACTGCCCACCTATTGATTTGAAATACAGAATATTAGAACCATAGCTTGCTAGTTTGTGAGCAAAGGCATTGTGAAAACTGAGTTGCATTCATATGTTCAAATGAATGATTTCAAATGCCCATATTTAAAGCATTGAAAACTAAATCCTATAATCTATAGCAGCATAAATATGTATGTTCATCCACAGGATGTAATTATTTATTTATTTATTATTAAGTTCTTCAGTAAAAGAAAGTCTACGTAGGAAAGTCAAAATCTGGACCATATGTTTCATATTTGCTTCATAGAGAAACATTCATAATTTCATTCAAGCATCCATGTAATATTTATGTAATGCCTACTGTGTGCTATACCTTGTGTTAGTAGTAAAATTCCCTAGGCCAGTGAATTTGAACCAGGTCTTCCAACCTATTCATTCTGGTTTGACCCCCTGCTGAGAATTTGCCTTTCCATTTCAGATATGCTGAATCAGAATCTTCATTTTAACCAGATCTTCAGGTGATTCTTATAGATACCCTTAAACTTGTGGATCTTGTTAAAGTGTAGATTCTGGTTCAATATAGTTGTAGTGGAAATGCAAATTCTCAGCAGGGAGTCCAACCGAAATCAACCTATTGGAAGCCCTGGTCTCAATGCAACTTGTACATCAGAATCACCTGGGGAGATTTTAAATGCTACTGATGCCCAGGGGTCATCATCAAGGTCAATTAAATCAAGTCTTGCATTTTTTTAAATGCTTTCCAGGTGACTCTAATGTGCAGTCAAGAGTGAGAAAGAATCACTAATTATGTCTTGCTCCTTGGGGTTATCAGAGAGACAGAGAAATATATAGATCCTTACAACAGAGTATAAATAGAAAAAAGTATCTCTTTCTCATATATCCTTATCAGATGTCACATTAAGCAATGCTGCTTTTAAAATATTTCTTTAAAGGGTAATTTTTAAATTGAAAATTTTTTTTAACAAACTGTTGTGTGCTTTATCATTAACTGATTTATTTTGATTTTGTCATAATTTAGCTGTAGCCCCTGGGTGGTACAAATGTTTAACACATTCAGCTGTTAACCAAAAGCTTGGAAGTTCGAGTCCACCCCCAGACATCTGGGAAGAAAGCCTTGGCGACCTACTTCTGAAAAATCAGCCACTGAAAACTGTGGAGTACAATTCCATTCCGGCAAGGCAAATATGGTGTCACCATGAGTCAGAATTGCCTGAAGGCAAACAGTTTTTTAACTGGTTTTCACTTGCACTATGTTACCTTTCAAGGCTGGTGGTTCAAACCCACCAGCCACTCCTCGGAAGGAAGGTTGGGCAATCCTACTTCCGTAGTGATACTGCCTTGGAAAACCAAGGAGGGGTCGCTATGAGTCGGGGCTGACTCGACGGCACATAACAACAACAACAACAACGTGTTACCTTTCTTCTTCTTTACTGGTTAGGCTGCTAGCAAAAAGGTTTGCAATTCGAACACGCCAACCTCACTGAGGGATGAGAGATGAGGCAGTTCACTTCAGTATAGATTTTATAGCCTTGGAAACATTGTGGAACTGTTCTACTCTGTCCTAAAGGTTAGCTATGAGTTGGAATTTACGCAATGGCAATGGGTTTTTTTGTTTTGTTTTGTTTTTCTCCTTTACTTGGAGACCCTCTATAAAAAGGTGAGTTGAGTGGACTTCCAAAGGAAATTCAAATTCAATTCAAAAGTTCATGTTATGTTTTCTGAGAGGAGGACTTACACTTGAGTCAATTTTCCTCAAATAATTACAATGACTGGAGGGATTTTCATAAAGACAAGACTTGAGATTGGCCTATTGTTTAAATTTCTATGTAATCTATACTTCTTTAAAACAACCATTTAATGGCACCAATAGAATAAATTGCTTATCTATATAGAATAAAATACTATAAATACACATTTAATACAGATCTGGTACCATAGTG